GGGTCCGAGTGAGCCTTCCAGGACCCTTGCAACGCTCCCCCCACCTGGAAGCTGGCGATTTCGCCCGCGCTGGCCCCGTGGGAGGAGCGTCGCAAAGGTCCTGGAAGGCTCACCTGGACCCTTGCGACGCTCCCCGCCACAGGGCCAGCGGGGACAAAATTGCTGCCTTCACTCCATAAGACACATAGAATTTCCCCCCTACATTTTGGGGGAGAAAAACTGTGTCTTATGGAGCAAAAAATATGGTATATGCACAATACATAATGTGAAAGGCTGGACTGGAGTGTGACATCCACCCACGTGCCCCTTTTGCTTGACCTTCATGTTAAATACATGTATAAATAAACAAGAGGATGGAGGAAGGGACAGTATGGATTGAGCCAAAAGAGACAGAGATAGATGGGTTGACATTCGGAATTCCTCTGGGGCAAGAAGACTCTTCTCTCCCTTTTTTTTTGCTTTAGGTCAGTTACAGCTTTGTATCCCACATTCTTCATGATAAAACCCAGTTCCCATTCATCTATCGGATGGTCCCCAAAGACGAACACCAGTATCTCGGGATCATCCAGTTGCTGCTGCATTTCAGATGGAACTGGGTCGGCCTCATCACACCAGACACTGATGATGGGGAACAGTTCATATGGACGGTGACATCCTTGCTCCTTAGCAATGCCATATGCACGGCTTTCTCAGTTCAGATTCCGGTCCAGAAACAATTCTTAGAAATACCTCCAGACCTGTTGATCAAGTGGAACAAGGCCAGAATACTCATTTACTATGGGGAAATTCGGTTTTTCCGCGCTACCATACCAATTTTGCTACATTACACTAAAGGCATGACAGAGTCCTCCAGAGGAAAGGTCTGGATAACAACCGCCATGTGGGACCTCAGGATGCACTTGTCTTACGATGTTCTGACTTCTCCGCAGATCTATGGCTTTTTCTCTTTCCTAATCCATAGAGAGAAAAGGGCAAGACAAGAGGATTTTGACCCCTTTTTATCTGCTACATGGGATTTTTTTCTGAGTTTGTTTACCTGCTCCTATTCCAAGCATCCGTTGTCCGTGAAAGAGCGGTCCAGGTGCCAAGAAGCAGAGAGGCTGGGGGCCCTGCCCAGAAAATGGGTTGAGGAAACTCTGTCACTCGACGGCTACGCTATTTACAACCTGGCCCACGCAGTGGCAAGGGCCCTGAAGGCTGCACAGTCATCCTCTGGACTCAGGCGGATGGCCCGGTTGGGTGGCCAGAGGCTGGGACACCCAAGATTGCAGCCGTGGCAGGTATGGTTTTCCCATCTCAGATCCTGTAGCTCTCCATGTGTATTTCTGGATGCAGCTGAATTTTCAGTTATTTAGCAGTTAGAATATACAACCCAGAAGCATGTAAAGGAGTGATGAAAATAGCCGGGTATGACTTGATCCTGCCTGAAATAAAAGAGAAAATTGGAATAATTGAAATCTCATGGAATAAAGACAGCGTCGTCATGGGGCCTCCCATGGATAAAAAGAGTGAGGCACCCCGCTCAGTTTCCTCTTTTCCAAATGCCCTCCTTTTCTCTCTTTGTCTTTCCAGCTTCACCCTTTCTTGGGAAACGCTCACTTCTACAACACTTCCATGGATGGGGTGTTTCTGAACGAGAAGGGGGAACTGGGAGCCCACTTCGACATTGTGAACTGGATGGTCTTTCCCAAGAACAAGTCCTTCCACGCCGTAAAGTTTGGGAAAATGGAGGGCCAGGCATCGGGAGCCATAAAATTCGCCCTTGACCCGGACGCCCCCGAATGGCTCTCCTTGTTTAGCCAGGTGGGTGGATCTGGTGACATCATCCATGCTTATTTTCATTTAGTCCTTTTAATTAATTGTTCTGGGCGGTTTGCAGGTTCAAATTTTAGACCCCACAAGACCTCACACAATATGCATCAGTTAATGTATATATCTGAATAATAAGGAAAGATTAGATACAAGCTGAAATTTTCTTTTTAGAGAAAAATGAGAGGAAAAATCCATGGGTTTACTCTGCTAGTTTCCATCTACATGGTGAGATCACTAGAAGGATTCCATGAGTCCTAGCAACCTCTTCTTTCCTAGAATCCTTGTTGGGTTGGAAGGGACCTTGGAGGTCTTCTAGTCCAACCCCCTGCCCAAGGCAGGACACCTCATAACATCCCGGAAGACCTCATACTATCCCGGAATTGGTAGTTGAAATTATCTATGTAGCTGCAGCCTGTCATCATCTTTATCAGCCAAAATTGTACACAAGGGGCTTTTCGTGACAAAGCATTCAATGTCCTAACAAGTAAAAATGTCTGCTCTGATTTAATTGAGTTTTTTCTCCATAGTCCATAGAATGCTTCCCCACTCCACTGATGAAGTTCCTTTGGAAGCCCCTGAAAAATCCGATTTCTTTTTAGGAACGCTTACCTCTTCTCCTCTGCAGTTGACGTTAGTCACTGTCGCGATCTCCTCTGAAGCCCCTATCCCTCTGGCCTTTCATGAGGTTCTTTCTTCTTTGCTTCCACCAGATATTAATGCTTTAATATCTCTTAAGTATTGAGACTCGTGTGTTATCAAAACACACGTCTTTTATTTAACCAGGGAAGTTGATAATCAATAAACATTCATGGAGTATATTTGAATCAGCTAGGATATTACTTGAAAACTCTTTTAACCCTCTGCTACAATCCACATTATTATAGATCTCTAACTCACTCTTCGTCCACTTTTAAGCCACACACAGTCTCTCTCTCTCTCTCTCTCTCTCTCTCTCTCTCTCTCACACTCCCTCCACCCACCAGTCTTTTCATCCTGCTCCCTCCCCCTGGCTCTGCCTTCCGTTCACTCATTGGGTGCGGTATCAATGTTCTGTGGTGATGGGCAGGAGAGGGCAGGGCACTTCACTACACTCTCCACTTCCATTCAGTCCTGAAGGAGGGTTCTGGCTGATCAAACACGAACAGCAAGACGTGTAAAGCCAGGCTGAAGACTGGCCTTCCCATTGGATCCTTTCCCCTCCTCTGACGACAGACAGCATGGCCTATTCTTTCCTTGATTGATCTTGTCTTTTTTTTGGGGGGGGCAGTCTCTCCCTGGTTCCAGGTGTACAGAAAGCTGTCATCCGGGATACTCCAGGGTGATCGAAGAAGGGAAGTCCTTTTGCTGCTATGGTTGTTCATTCTGCGCCGAAGGGACAATCTCTAGCCATGAAGGTAGGTGATACCGAGGGGATCTGGGCCAAATCTGGGGAAAGAGTCAGCCAAGCTTCCGGAGGGGAAAAGGAACCATCATGGATAAGGTTGTGCAACGATCCAGGGAAGTCACAAACACCAAACTATGGGGGAGGAGAAAAATCACATGCTGTGCTAATCAGATGCCTTCCAGCCATCAAGGAATTATCTTTTCAATAATGAGCTGACTGTGAGGTGTAATCTTGCCCCAAGATGGTCACGGCCCCATTGGTGATGCTGGCAGGCAGAATGTGATCTTGCCTGATTCAAGGTCAATCTTGAATCCTGATTAAGGAGGTTAGAGTCACTGTTCTGTCCCTTCCCTGATTCTTCACATTACGACGATCAAAAATAGCTGATCATTGGGTTTCAAAATGGCAGGTGTACACAATGTCTCCCCACTGTGTTAAGGAAGGCTTTTTAGCAATACAGGGAGCAGAAAATGGCTGTCCTATGGAGGATCTGCGCTGGACGGTGAATTATTCAGCCCACTGGAATGCACTGAACAGGTTTTCAATGCATTTCGAGGATATCGCTTAACAGCAATTTTGCTCAAACGGATTCTCCTCATCAAGCGAGGCACCACTGTATCTTGATTCCACTTGAAATGAGCCATGAGGCTTTCTGCTCTACTGTCTTGGGCCAGACATGATCTCTTTTAAGACTGTACATCACAAAGTTATTTGGAACAAGTCTGGACACAGGTGTCTTTGTTACTGCTCCAAAAATCTTGGAAGCCAAAGAGGAAGGATGTGTGGTTAAATAAAAGGCACCCCAGTCCCTTCTCTCTGAAGTTGTTCTTCCTCCTTCTTTCTTCCAGATGCGGATGAATGCACCAAATGCAAAGAAGATCAGCATCCAAATAGGGACCACGATCAGTGTATCCCCAAAGATATAAACTTCCTCTTTTACGAGGAATATTTGGGGATCATCCTGGTTTCTTTTGCCCTGCTTTTCTCCATCATCACAGCTTCTGTGTTAGGAATCTTCATCAAGAACCAAGAAACTCCACTGGTCAAAGCCAACAACCGGGGCCTCTCCTACATCCTTCTCGTCTCCCTCCTGCTTTCCTTCTTCTCCTCCTTTCTCTTCATTGGCCGGCCAAGGAAAGCCACCTGCCTCCTCCGACAAACGGCCTTCAGCATCATCTTCTCCATTGCCGTCTCTTCAGTATTGGCCAAAACCATTATGGTGGTGCTGGCCTTCCTGGCCACCAAGCCCGGGAACAAGGCCAGGAGGTGGCTGGGGAAGAGTCTGGCCAACGCCATAGTCCTTTCTTGCTCCGGTGGTCAAATGGTCATCTGCTCCATCTGGTTGGGGACCTCTCCTCCATTCCCGGATGCTGACCTCCACTCCCAGCCTGGGGAGATCACCCTCCAATGCAACGAGGGGTCTGTGGCCATGTTCTACACCGCCCTCGGCTACCTGGGCTTCCTGGCTGCCGTCTGCTTCACGGTGGCCTTCCTGGCCAGGAAGTTGCCTGGGGCCTTCAACGAGGCCAAGCTGATCACCTTCAGCATGCTGGTCTTCTGCAGCGTTTGGGCGTCTTTTGTCCCCACCTACCTGAGCACCAGGGGCAAGTTCATGGTGGCCGTGCAGGTCTTCTCCATCTTGGCCTCCAGCGCTGGCCTCCTGGGCTGCATCTTCATCCCCAAGTGCTACATTATTGTCCTCAGGCCCCACCTGAACACCAAAGAGCATTTGAAACTTTCAAGGTAGCAGTGTGCGGGTTCTAAAATTCTCAAAAACTGGAGGTAATCCTTGTCCATCATAGTAGAAATGAGACTTCCCTGCTTTTCTTGGGAATGCAGGACTTTACGTGATGTAAATTATCTCACCTCACATCATTACTATACACAGAGGATAAAACCAATGAATGAATGAAGCTCAATACCAATAACTCCATTTGCCTTAATTAGTTCTTCATAATATTCACACCCTGTGTCCACAGGAAAACCAAGTTTAGCACCATAATTTTTTTTGTTTAAGACACACTGAATGTATAAAAAATGAGGTTTCTATCATGTTTAGAAGGATTGCTCCAAAACTCACGGCCGCCTGCTTTTTACAAACACAGGAGACATCTCTGTAGGGAAATTATTGGGTAAGAAATAACGAATGCGATGTGACTTATTTGCAACTGTTTTTGCGTATACTTTGATAGAATTGTTTTAAGAAAAATTTGTGTTGCAATGGAGTTTGTTTTTAAGTGACTGAATGAGTTATAAGAAAGTATCCTCTTTCTAAAGAGAACTTGTTTGCTTTGAACTTTTGAATCATAAGCTTCACCTATATAAATGTACCATGTACCATGCTCATGTACATGTTTCCCTGAAAATAAGACATGGTCTTATATTATTTTTTGCTCAAAAATGCATTAGGGCTCATTTTCAGGGGATATTGTAATTTTCTTCATGTACAACCATCTACATTTATTCAAATACAGTCGTGTCATCTTCTGGTTGCTGTACAATGGTGGAGGGTGGGGTTTCACTTAAGTGGGGCTTATTTTTGGGGTAGGGTTTATATTATAAACATCGTGAAAAGCATACTAGGGATTATTTTCAGGTTAGGTCTTATTTTGGGGGAAAGAGGGTAATTTTTACATATATTCCATGTATATTTTATATTTTTGGCTTTTAGTTACTCAGTTACTTGTTAAATAAGCCTTTTAAAGATTGCTTTTTGAACTTTTAAGACAAAATTATTACAAAACATCCAGAAATCCACTCAGTTTGCCTCTTGGTTTCTCTTTTTTTATTATTATTGTCAGCGCCGGACGGGAACGGAGGCAGTCTCCGGAAGGGATAGGCGCTGCGGACTAGTGCCAGACGCCCCCCTGCAGAGCGATCCACGACCACACTGACGCTGGGTGCCCGGAAAGACCTCAGGCAGCTGGGCTGTGGACTTGGAGTTCATGGCGCAGTGGACGGAGCCGAGTGGGGCTGTAGCTTGGGACGCCGGGATCCTCTGGACTGTTTAGTGGAGCCGGTTCACGGAGGCGCGGAGGTACCTGCCTGGCCGAGGGATATCTTGGAGCCTTCCTGAGGGTGATCTGGCGGTTGGCAACCAGTGGCTGGTGGGATCCCCTGACGGGTGGTTGGAGCGTGGGGATCGGAGCCAGCCAGGACTTGGAGATCATACTGCCCCGCAGGAGTGGAGGGAGCTGTGAGATCGGTGGAACAGCAGAGCACTAACGCACCGGCGCCATGTTGGCACTTCCTTCCCTAGCTCTCCTCTCCCTTGCTTGCTGTTTTTGTGCTTGCTGCTTTTCTGCTTGCAAGGACGCTTTTTTAATCAAGCCCCAAGGATCCAGAACAGTACGGACAGAGCCTTTTCTATCTTGGTTCCCTGTGTGTCTGAACCCCCTTATGCACAACAGCGTGTATCCCGAGCTAAGAACTGAGACCTATGAGCACTACCGCTTAAATGAAGATCATAAGTCTGTGTTGCTCCGGATTTCTCTAAGGACAAGACTATGCAGTGGAGAAAGACAGCTTTGGGAAGCATGTGGGGGATAGTTATTGTGTACTCTGTAATTAGCTACTTTTTTCTTTTTAAATGTATGTATATTATTTATAACCTTGTTGCCCTGTATATGATTATGATTTTGATCATTTTTTTGATTATTTTTTGATCTGTTATATTAAGTTACACAAGTTTTTTCTTTCCCCTCTTTTTTTCTTCTCTCCCTTTTTGCTTTTTTCCTCTTCCCCCTCTCCTCCTTTCTTTCCTTTTCTCCACCCGGTCATGGAATGGAAGGCCTGCCTTCCCAGCGTGGGGCCCCAAAACATCTCTGTGGTCACGGGTAGGGGAAGATATGGCATTGGCGCCGTCCCTGCACATGTTAGAAGAATGACGAACAGATGCTTAAAACCTGTTCATTGTTCT